TTTTTAATCAGTTCTTTTTTATTTTAGATGGCCTTAATATTGTGTGTAGATTATTAAGTTGTTCTTCAAATAAGTTAACTAACTATAGGAGTAATCCAAAACGTCAAAATACAAAGCATCAGTATTTTTTTTTCTAAACCGCGCTAGAAGAAAAAGTCGTCTAACCTAGTTGAAAACTTGCATCTAACCCGAGGTTGCGCACATTTGACATTACAATCTACTGAGGTTTAGGAGTAAAAGAGACTAAATTCTAAATTTACGAACAAGATTTAGGTATTTCCATGGTTTCCATTGGACAAATCATATGCTAAAAAATAGGTACTTTTCCCAATTTTTTTTAAAATTAGTGAGCACACCTATGTTTTAGATATGATTTTATTCGTAATCTCTTAGTAAATCGATTAATATAAGTGTAATTTATTTTCATCAAGTGTTTCAAAAGTTAGACGAGGAATAAACATGAAATGGAAATCAAAAGAATAAGCTGGGTTCAAATTACGCTGTTCAAATTGTAAATTTTGAGCAAAGACTTTGAAAGTTAAACTCACTAATTGGGACGTTCTAAATTCAATGGCATGCCCCGTTTTACCAGATTGACTCCGGTTTTTGAGATAACGGTACATGAAAATTTTATAAAATTTTAACCATTTTATAAATAACCCTCAGTTTTGAAGTTATTTTACTAAAATTTTACACATAACGGTTTTTCAATATTACCTTAATTATTGCTTAAAATTATCGAAACGGGTTCACTTTAACATATAGCTCCAATACAACTGAGTACTCAGATATGTGTCTTTGCGCTATAACTCTAACTTCATATATGAAACATAAATTGTATGCGTGCTATATGTTAAAGTGAACCTATTCTAAATTTCTACCTGCTTAATTGGAGGCGTTATAACGCAAACCAACGTCTCTGAACAATCAGTTGTACGGGGGCTAGATGTTAAATTGAACCGATTTAGATGATTTTAAGAGATAGTGAAAGTAATATTAAAATACAAGCGTGTGCAAAATTTTAGTGAAATATCTTCAAAATCGAAGAAGATTTTTGTAAAATAGTTAAAATTTAAGCAAAGCTGTACTTGAACTATCTCGAAAAGTGGAGCCAATCGGGCAAAACTGGAGACGCCATTGAATTTAGAAGGCTCCAGTTAAGTAAGAGCAACTGTCAGAAGCTTCATCGAAAAAAAAAAATCATTTGATACCACGATCGAAATATTCTGACTACAAAAATGAGCATCATTAAAAATAGTAAATCAGGGGACAACTCCTTGCAGACGATCCCTCGCCCAGGCACGTCAGGAGGCATCTCTACGAACTTACGGACGAAGTCCTGGGGTTCATCAAACAACCTCTGGACCCGACAGCTTATCGACAGGCCTTGAACAGCATTCACTGAGATGCAGTCTCGAGTTATGTAGACTCCCGACCTGTGAATGACGTTCCGGGCACCCAATCACCAGACGTGGACGAGACAGAGCTTCGTCTGTCTCGGCAGACTCGGACCACAATAGTCCAACTGCGCTCTGGTTACTGCAGCAGGTTGAACTCATACCTGAGAAGATTAAACGAGGATGTTCTTAACGAATGCCCGGCATGCGGAGAGTCGCCCCATGACTCACAGCATCTCTTCGTATGCCCTCTGAATCCCACCTCACTACCGCTAGTAGAGCTTGACGAAAACGTTTGAGGGACTAACGCATCTGGACTGGGTTGTAGCCACAACAACAACCACAACATCTGTAGTGAACCTAACTAAGCGTATTTTCGTTGGCTTGGAAGAAGCTATTTTTGCGGAGCTACGAATTACGAATTAGAAAATTCGGGTTCTAGAATGAGAGAGTATGTTAGTATTTGATTCAGCGAAAATACGTATAAATGGTGTTGTTAAAGTTGATTTTTTCAATCGACTTCGAATGGAGATAGGGATAGAATTCCAGATATGAATAGCATTGACACAGAATAGCCTTGCAGAGGTTAGAAAATTATAAGGTGGTACTATCAAGTCGCTTATTCGAGCTGACTTAGAGAAGATTTGTTTACTATAAAGATAGCTCGGAGCCTTATCTGGCAAATAAGCCGGAGTTGAGGACATTCTCCAAATTTCTTAAAATATTGCTGGCAATAGAGTTTACATGATCATGACATGAAAGGCTACAGTTAATAACAAAACCAGGATTTGACACTTTTAACACAAATTTGAGATACTTACTGGCAGTATGTACATATATATGAGTTGTTGTGTTTCTTAGAAAAAGGTATCATTGACAAAATTACCCAGATTTTTATATTAGTCGATGGGAGTTGAAACAGCCTTTCAATCATATCGAAACGATTCAACACTTAGCATTGGCTTGTCATTGCATGCGGATTTACCCATCTTGACTTGGATCAATTTCGAGGCCCAAAAAACATTTTGTTGCAATTACTTTTACCTCGAAATTGGTATGAAATAATAGACTTGAATTCATTGTTGGTTGCCATAATTCGTCATCAGCCTACATACATATATTCCCAGTAGATAATTTAGGTAAGCCTTCTTAAGTGAAGCCATTCAAAGAGGCCTACCCAAGAACGGCTGAAAAAAGTACTTCCTTGCATGCTTTCTAGAAGGGCTTATTCATTTACAATTTACGCGAATGCATAAATTTATATTATTTAGCATTACAAATGAATTTCAATAAACATTTTAAGTTGCAATAACACATATTTGATATAAACCTTAAGCAAATACCTCAAAGATGTATGATTTTTATAAATTACAGAAGCAACTTTAAAAGAACTCCTCCGAAAGGTCTTCTGAAATACATCCTTTAAAAGCAATTCTGGAAGGCGTTCTATGGGTAGCGAAATAAGAAGCCCTTCAATTTGTGCCACTCCTACAAAAAAGAAACGAATATAGAGTGGAAGGCCTCTTGACTCTCAGGAAGGCCTTTCGAAAGGGCTTTTAACTCCTGAAATTATCTACTGGGTTGCGATAACCGTAATAGTGCCTTAAGGCAAATATTTGATCCGGCGCACAAACACACGAACCTAATTCATTTTGTTTAAAATTAAACTTGCAGATAAATGATGTAAATTTTTCGTTCCAACATCTCGATGCTTCTTTCAAAACCTTTAAACTTTTAATCAATTTGCACACGTTTCCACCATCATCAAACCCATTGATTTAAAAAAATATCTTAACTGTATTTCATTCATTGCTAACGAAAAAATTGCACATGTCGATGTGAACTTCACCATCGGCCTAACGTTTCTTCGTAGTTCACACCATACTGCTGTGTGAGTGCATGAATCACCAGGCTGCTTTATACCGTTTAGGTGAACCGTTGAGTTTATCTTTGATCTTAAACACCCAGCGATTATCAATCACTTTTTGACTCTCAGATGGATCAACCAATTCCCATATACAGTTATTAATCTGTGAATTAGACTCATCGTCCCTAGCGCACATCCACTCCTGTGTGTTTGTTGCGTATGTTTTCACCTGAACAACAGTGGCTGAGTAACCAGTTTGAATTAACCGACTCGAGCGATTCACACGTCGCAGATCATAACGTTGATCACTTCGCTAAGACTTACCTTGTTCTTGGGAGGTTTTACTTGGTTCAATGTTTGTTTCATTTGAACTTCACGTTCACTGGCGGTTTCTGCTTCATTGAAACGAACATTGCAACTCAGACGTTTTCAGTCGTTTGAGTCATATAATCGGAAATTCTTGCTAGTGGGTTCAAATCCCACAAAAAACCCTTTGCTTCCGGATCCCACTTGTACATAACATTCGGTTCCGAGAATTTTTATGCGACCGAAATATGGGTTTCGACCAGACCAGACCAGACCATTTTTCGTAGGGTGTATCATTTGCTATTTGTTTGCGTTTTAACAAATGGGTTGCTGTACGCACTGCTTCTGGTTACCAACACGACGATAAGTCATGTGAGGCGCTGCACCCAAATCAGCACACCAATAGTTGGATTTTGTATCGTCGTATTTGTTTGCACGCACAACCGAAGGCCATGCTAACTCATCTTTGTCTTTCAGACTTTTTTGTCTTTGCGTCTAGCATTTTTTGGCTTTTATTGTTACTTCATGAATTTTTAGGTTTTGGAAATTTTTTATCTTTCGCCCAATTTCTCACAAATCACCATTAAATTTTATCGACTTGAAAATTACGCCTTATTATACAAATACTATTAATGGGCCGCTGTGGTGTAGTGGTAAGCAGTGCGCGCTTCCACTCCGCAACGCCTGGGTTCAAACCCTGGTCATAGCAACATCGCAAAAAAATATAGAAAGAAGGGCTTTTCTTAACAGCGGCCGTCCCTCGGCACGCAATGGCAAACCTCCGAGTGTATTTCTGCTATGAAAAACAGCTTCTCATAAAAATACAATCGCCTTTCGGAGTCGGCGTAAAACTGTAGGTCCCTCCGCTTTGTGTGACAACATCAAGGCGCACACCACATATTGGAGGAGAAGCTCGGCCAAACACTAACATATGCGTAAGCGCCAACCTCTTATTATTATTATTAATGGGCTACAAAACTGCATACTCAAATTTTTTATAAGAAATCGAATGGAAAATTTTAAAATTTCGATGGAAATTTTCTTGCATTTTCCCGAGTATGAAATTAAAGAAATTTATTCTTGTGGTTTTCGCTGGTGAATGAACTATATTTTTATAAAAAATAAGAAAAATTTGGTATGGAAAATGTAAATAAATAAAGTCGTGAAAACGTCAGGTTATGCATATTTTTGACGCTGACTGTAAGTATTACATGTATAATATACCATGGAATTGCCGGACCCTCTATAGTGAAGTTGCGACATCTATTACTAATATACCTTTTTGATTTTCCCAAAACAAGTAATAAATCACATTCCAAATAAAAAATGGCCATATAAGAGAAGGAAGTTCTAAGATATGCTGATATTGCAAATGTTGTGTTTGACACTGTATATGTATCGGTTATACTCATGCATTCATTTTTTCTCAGGTATGCGGAAAAACCATCACACCAGCAACAAATAAACCTACAGCATCGAAACTACGAATTGGATTTGGAGCGTGATCACGCTTTGCCCACGTCAGCCCCCAATGCCGATATTTTAAAAAGTAATAGTAATCCAACGTATCCGAACCCGAATAGACATCACAATCACGAGCGCGAACGACACCGGCATGTCATGAGCTCTACGCCTTCCCCATCATGTAAGTAGTTTATCTTATTGCCTATAAAACAGACAAATAACAGTTTCAAGTTTATCCGTATAGTTATTCAAGGATATAGACAGACTGACAATGACTGAAAAAAACTCGTTTTGCGAATATGTACCTGTATGCATGTAGATTTAAAAATTAAAAACTACTAAACTACCGGAACAAAAAATTCCGATTAAATCTTATTTGGCAGTACAACCGTTTGTTCGGTTTGGACCGAAACCCAAAAACATCGACAGTTGCCTCTCTCCTTTGGGGATTTGCGCCAGTTGTTCATCCCAAGTTGTTATTGTTGTAACAGCATTCCAATTCCCCAAAGAGTATTTGGGGAGCGTTGCTGGAGTGACAGTCCTTGGCGTTTTTATGACCGATTTAAACTATCTAAAAATTAAAATTAATTAAAAATCAAAAAATAACTTACAATTTATAAAAAAAAAAATTTAAAAAATTTTTAATGGGAAAAATATAGTTCCAAACGGATTAATCATGATTATTATAAATATCATAACCGTCACGGTCCTCGGTTTAAATATAATGTTGATGAAAAAATAGGCTTTACTTCTTTCTAACATTTAAGCTCAACATTTTGTATCGTAAGTTTCGAATAAGCAGTTTTCTAAACACCGATTAGATCCACACACTCTGCTTTTTAAAAATCGAAGTAAAGACACTTAAACTTGTTTTGCTTACATTAACTATTTTTTGATTTTGCTTTGTTTTCTTTCGGAATGAGCAATATAAAATTGTGAACTTATTTGAATTACTCAAATTTGAAATGAATTCGGAATTTAGAAATTGCTCAAGAGGTACTTAAAAAGTATTATAGAAAAGATGACACTAATAATGCTACATTGGTATCATTTGACATAAAGGATCTTTACACGTCAATAGCAACAAGGACAACGGATATTTTATTTAGAATATTACTCTGCAAAACGGAAAAGAAAATCGCAAATGAAATTATCAATACTTTCAAGACTACGATAAACCAAAATTATTTCCGAGTTCACAACAAAATATACAGACAAATAAATGGACTAGGAATGGATAACCCAACATCGGCTATACTCATGGAGGTGTTCGTGCAAAGCCTAGAGGAGAAATATATGGAGCATCTCACAACCAATTTAGGGGCCAGCTTCTACGCTAGATATGTGGACGACATAATATGTATAATAACGGGGGACAAAGAGGGGCAGATATTGGACTACCTCAGTGAACAACACAAAAATATAGCATTCACGATAGATAAGGAAGAGAAAGGTAAACTTAACTATTTGGATCTAACGATTAAAATAAACAAGACCACCAACAGGCTGGAATACGGGATATACAGAGAGTACACAGCGACCGACACAGTAATACATGAACCTCTAACCACCCACAACAACACAAAAACGCAGCATTTAGACAATTATTAACTAAACTTGAGCGAACCCCATTAACTAAGGAAGCACACAGGAGAGAGCTAGACACAATATATCGTCGCTCGAATAAAGAAACAGTGTAAATGCCACATACACTATTATTCGATAATTGCACCATTGGATAGACAATCCTTTAATCTATTATAAAAGTCTTTAGTTTTCTTAAATATCTCTTTGGCTCACTAATTTATTCCCGAAAAACGAAATTGTATTTGTATGGTTTGTAATGGTTTATAAAAACTTCCAATTCGTTTTTCTCAAAACTATACTTTTCATGTTACACTATTTCATTAATCCAGCGACGATATGCTATTGCCAAAACCAATGGATACAAAAAAGATCTGGTGGACAAAATTAGAAAGGACTCGAAACGAAAAAGTAGGAACAAGAAAGAAAACAACGATACAGCTTGGACAGTGTTAACTTACACGGGTAAAATGACACACAAACTGGCCAAGGTTTTCCAAAAATTCAACATTCGCACATCGTTCAGAACCAGGAACTGTTAAAGTATTTGTTTCTTTATACAAAGTTTTATATATATATCTATATTAATGATTCAGCAAAATATAAAAGGAAAATCTGATAAGCACACTGGCTGTCAAAAACAAGAAATGCAAAAAAAAAATAAAGGATAAAGACAAAAGCAAATACATTATAGCGCCATCTATTTGACAATTGATGTGAAGGGAAATTTAACTTAGGCTAACATTACATACTTCAACACTTTCCCTTGTTAATTATAGTTAAATTTGAAATAAAATGTATTATAACATAATTTCTGCGTCGCCTTTATGATTTATGTGAGTCCCATCTTCAGTGATAGAATTTTGAGTCTCGTTTTCGGCAACGGTTTAGTCATTATATCTGCTAATTGATGTTCTGTTGAGATTTGTTGGATACACAATTTGCCTTCTGTCACCTTCTCTCTGATGAAAAAGTGCTTTATGGAAATATGTTTTGTTCGGCGGTGAAATTCTGGATTTTGAGCTAATCTAACTGCTGCAGAGTTATCAACTAGAACGATGGGAACAGCTTTAAGCTTTATGATACCTCTGAAAAGTCTGCTTAACCATATTGCTTCTTTGGCTCCCTCGTTTGCTGCTATAATTTCTGCTTCAGTTGTGGAAGTTGCCACAATCGCTTGTCGTTGACTGAACCAAGAAATCGCACCTCCTGCATATTTTACCACTACTCCTGACGTCGAGCGGGCAGTCTTCATGCACCCTCCAAAATCAGCATCGCTGTAGACCTCTAAAAGACCTACATCTTTGTTGTACCGGTAGACTACTCCAAGGTCTAAAGTTCCTGCTATGTACCGAAAAACTCTCTTGACTCGTACTATGTCCTCATGAGTAGGATTTTCCAATGCTCTGGAAATAAAGCCCACACTGTACGCCAAGTCCGGCCGTGTGCCCAGCATTAGGTACATTAGTGCTCCTACAGCTTGTCTGTAGGGAAATTTTGTTGATTTGTCATCTTTTCCTGGTGCGCAGCTTTCTGCATCTTTGAGTATTGGAGTTGAAACAGGTTTGCATTCGGAAAAGTTGAAACGTTCTAAAATTTTCTTTGCGTATGATTTTTGATTAATCTTAATAAAATCTTCTTTTAGCTCAATTTCTAGACCCAAAAAGTAACTTGCCTTATTTGAAACAATTTTGAACTCTGTTTTCAACTCACCAATAAATGTCTCCAACTCACGTGGATCTGATGCAGCTAGAAGACCATCATCCACGTAAATTACCAGAATGAGTTTTTGACCACATCTTTCTCGAATGTACAAGCACGGATCAGCGTCACTGGCCTTGAACTCATGCTTTTCAAGGAAGCCTCCGAAGCGTTTGTTCCAGCATCTAGGTGCTTGCTTGAGACCATATAGGCTTTTCTGCAGCTTACATACCTTACTGGTCCCGTCCTCATACCCTTGTGGCTGTTTAATAAACACGTTCTCTTCGAGCTCTCCATATAAAAACGCTGTTGATACATCGAACTGTTTTAAATGCATTCTCTCACTGGCTGCAATACTTAGGATTGAGCGAATTGTTCCCATTCTCGCTACTGGACTGAATGTTTCGCTGTAATCTTTGCCTTGACGCTGATTGAAGCCCTTCACAACCAACCTCGCTTTATACTTGTCTATGCTTCCATCAGGATTTTTCTTAAGCCGGAACACCCATTTGCATGGAATTGCCCTTACATCTTGTGGCAGTTCGGTTAAAGTCCACGTTTTATTCTCTTTTAACGAGGCCATTTCGCGATCCATGGCTTTTCTCCAATCAATTGCATCGCCGCTCTCAAGAGCCTTTTCAAAAGTATCAGGGGATTCACTCAATTGACTGTGGATTTCCTCTACGGACATAACAAAGTTTTCGAGGTGCTTTGGCTTCTTTAAAGCTGACCTTCTTCTCAATACACTTCTGGTAATTTGCGGATTGATACGCTTCTTTAAAGTTAGTATAATCCTTTATTTAAACTATAAAATATACAAAAAGGAAAAGAACGATTCTAGAAAGAAGCTGTCTTCTCGACACGTGTGCAACAAGTGTTGCTCTTGATATTTTTGACAGTCATATCCATATGTCATATAATAGATGTAAATGTATGTATGTATAATTGTACGTGATCAGGGTTGTCTTTTCATCCAACACCTCTCCTGTTGAATGCTGATATCCGCCAAGATGA